TGCTAGTGGCCTGGAAAGAGGGCTGTCTACACCGGCGACACGTTACTCCAGCCCAAGAAAAAAGATCAATGGAGGGTTTTGACAGGTTTATTTTCCTGTCAAGACATCAGAAGGTGAAAGAACGGGAGCTTGTGCACGTAAGGGCTTCTGAGCACTCGGCTGTCATGGAGTACCCTGCGTGATTGAAGTTAGTACTGGTCATACCTGAGCAAGCAGTCAGGCTAGCCCTCCATTCTACCCTATGAAACCATCTAGGGCTGAAGCATCAGCCTGAAGACCTTGTATAGTGGATGCAACTTACCGGGTGCCCCTGGCCCCTTTCCCTGGAACACAAAGGCCTCTTGTCTGGCTGGGCTGTGGGAGTGGACACAAGCCATCTCCTCTTTCCTTTGTCGAGGGTCTAATCTTTGCAATCTGGAAGGGGGTTTTGTTTCAGCCTCTTGGGGGCCAGGGGGCAGAAAGGAGGATAACTTCCGACTTTGAAGAGGAAAGAAAGGGTTAAGCAGGACCCCTCAGCGGTCTTACTTCTCCCTTTCAGAGAAGAGCTGGTGGCTGCCCCTGGGGGCAGTCTCCTGCTGCTCGGCAGGAAGGTGTGTCTGTGATTAGTATTGCTAATGATCACATCATCTTGGTTTTATCAATCTTGCCTCTTTTTCTAAAGGTTCTTAACATTATCAGTGGAACAGATTTGCAGCAAATAAAGAATCCCCAGGTCAGGAGAAAAAAGCTGAGGGAACTGTGAAGACAGTCAGAAGTCCCCCCCCCCGCCCCCCCCCCTCCAGGATAGGTTGTGGATAGCTAGTTTCAGGGGACAGGAGAGATAATTTCTTGCTGGGGCTGTAGATCAGTTGGTAGAGACCTTGTCTAGAATGTACATAGTACTGTCTTTGATTCTCAGTGTGGTAGTAATGCCTGCTACTCTAAGACTTGGGGAATTGATGGGAATGATTAGGAATTCAAGGTCATCCTTGGGTACAGAGTGATGTCAAGCCTAGCCTGGGATACATGAGTCCTGGTCTTAAAAAAAAAATCACAAAGAAGGAATTTTGCTCGTATTCTATGGCTCAGTAAAAATCACTGGTTAATATCTCTGAGTTCAATATTTCAAAATAGTTATTACAAAGGCTTTCGAATGCTCCCAAAGTAAGATATATGTCTGAGGCAGGAGATATGCTAATGGACCCAATCTGGTGGCAACAGATGTTATGCATGTATTGAAATACCATACCACACCCCACAAATATGTACGATTCCTCTGAGTCGAAAAGAGATGCATTCTAGGAAAATAGCCCTTTGGGCAGTGCCTGGAACTCACTTCTGAGCATCCTGGGAGCCACAGTCATGAGAGAAACACATAAATCACATCATCAGCAAGAACCGACACTGTCTCAGTTACAGGAGACATTGATATGGCAGAGAAAATTACCAATAGTGTCCCTGCAGTTTGGGGCATTAGGAAACACGGCCTTGGGAAACTCCAGAGTTCATAAATAGCCCCTGGGCAGTGGTTTCCATTGTAGTCCATGAAATAGTGATTCAGTCTCAGAGAAGGTTTCCTCAGACACAGGCAGTATGGAGTTCTTACCATCCACCCAAACATCGTCCTCTCTTTCTGGAAGACTCTCTATGCTCTCTGTTGAGGAGTCTGCACAGATGGCAACCTGCTTCCTTTTACCCAGTCATCTCCTAAACACCTTTGACTAAAGAACCAGACACTGGAGAGATGGAGGGAAATTCCCCAAGTCTTTGAGGCGCGATTGCTTTTTTTTTTTTTTTCCTCCAGGGATACTGTCTTGCTCACAGGCTCTCATAAGCTATTTTTTTACGAGGCACCTGAACTCTCTCTTCTGATAGAAGCCCCTGCCTGCAACCTAGAGACACAGCACACACCCCTCTTCAGCCTGCAACGCCTCTGGACGGGGTGCCCCCAGAGATGGACAGAGCACCCTTTGCTGCAATCTATTTCCTGCCATCGCACGCCATCTGTGTGAACAAAGGACACCCCCACCTGCCGGTACGCCAGGACGGAGGGTGCGGTGCGAAAGAAGAGTGTGTCCTGCCTGCCGCAGGGGTAGCAGGCAATGGCCGTACAAACAGCAGGATGAATTTGTATCAGGACAGACAAAAGGCTCCCGGGTCCAGGGAGGCTTCTTGGAGGAAGTGACACATCAGCTGTAATTGAAAAGATAAACAAGAGTTTTATGAATGGGGAGGTGTGGGGTCCTCTTGGAGTTTGGAAGGACCAAATGGTCCGAGCGAGCTGTGGGTGGGGACAAATGGCTGCGATCCAGGCAGCTGGTGGGAGCGGGGCCCAGACTGTCTGACTAGTTAATCTGGGCTTCCTTGAACCAAGGAAGTATGGAGGGTCTCAAGAGGGGTGCCGAAACTTTCCCTGGGAGTCAGGCAGAGAGGGATGTATGAAGGTCACAGAGGTAGAGGGAGGCATGAGCCGAGTGATGCAGAGGGCTAGGGACAAAGGACAGAGTTCTGGTACCGAGTGCCGTTTGGTCACAAGTAACGTGGCAAGCTCTTCATGGTCCCAGGAGAACCAATGTTTCCCTTGGCTGGATATCAGACCAAATTAAGGACACTTGTCTCACCAGCTGCACTGGGCCCCGACGTCACACTCAGCATCCTGGACATCGGTTTCTGGTCTGAGAGCCCAGCAGCTTGTCCTGCCATGGCTGGTGGTGGACAGTAGAGAGGACGAGGGTGCCATAGGTGATGCCCTGTGTTGTGGGTACCGTCTGTTCTGAGGTGTTCACTGTTCACAGAGGTAGGGGAACAAGACTCCTCAGCCAGAGCAGAGCCGTAGCTCTGATGCCCCAGCCAGGGGGCTTTTAGGAGTGGTGGACAGACAGCCACAGTTTGTCCTTCCTTCATCAACGGCGTCCCATTTGACCTCACAACACCCTGTGACACCTGGATGACTGACTCATCCCCAGAGACAGATGGAGACGTGGTAGATTTTTAACAGGTAGCCATGCCTGAAGTTTTGATTCAGGCCTTGGTGCTTGTTCAGTTGCACTGGTCACAGACCAGGCAGCAGGAGAGGAAGACAGAATCCTGGTGCCCACTATAACTTCTCTGAGACTTGCCTCGGGAAGCCTGGGGCCCAGAGAGAGATAGGGGGCACGTTCGAGGTACCTTAGGATGTTTGGGGTGACTCTGGGGTCCTAGGAATAAATGGTTAGGGTAGAAGCAGGATGCATATTCTATTTCTTCCTTTAGTTCTGGGAAGCCCTTTTGCAATCACCAAGAGAACAACTTCTCAGGCAGTGTGTGGGTTCTAGAACTTTTTGGGACCCAGGGAAACTTCTTTGTTGTGCTATCCCTTTTTCTGAGATGGCCTGTCTTACCTCATGATGCCTCGGTCTTTTTTCTGAGATGGCCTGTCTTACCTCATGATGCCTCGGTCTTTTAGTACCTGAGCTCAGATGCCTGAACCACACTGACTGGGCCGGTTGCTAGGCATCTCTGGGCATGCGTCCCTTCCTCCAGCAGAAGGAACACTTCAGATCCCAAGGTGTGCAAAGCCTTGGCCTCTGCTCTTAGCAATGTTCCTGGCTTTGATCCTGGGCACATGGATCATGGAATATTTAATGAAGAAAGAAAAGTGTGTGTGGTGGGGAGTTGAAAGGCAGGTAGGAAGAAAGAAGGAAGGAAGGAAGAAGGAAGGAAAGAGGGAGGCAAGGAAGGATTTACTTTCCTGTGATTAAAAAAGCAAAATCACTCAAGTGGGAGGATGTTTGCTTTTGCCTCGGTGTCCACATAATATATCTGAGCCTTGGACCCATACCTCAGCTGAGGTGTACTGTATTCCTGTCTTTTGTCTGGCAATGTAAGCTGGTTAGAATCCGAGGGAAATCAGCATTTTTCTGAGCTATGTAGTCAAGTTGTTGAAATTCTATGTAGATCTTGACCTGGACCTGTTGATTCTGTGGGATGTAGAAAACCTTTCTCTCTCTCTCCCTGACAATTTCTATGTATAGCCCTGACTGTCCTTGAACGAGCTCTCTAGATCAGGCTATCTCGAACTCAGAGATCCGCCTGCTTTTGCCTCTCAAGTGCTGGAATTGAAGGTGTGCGCCACCATTGCCCGGAAAAAAAAACAGTTTTTTTTAAACAACTAATTTTTTTTTAGAGGATAATGTTTTCTACAAAAATTTTAGAATTGTAGATAAGAAAAGAAGTCTAAAAGAATTAAGCAACCTCATTATCCTGCCTCTACCTTCCAGGTGCTAAGATTACAGGTGTGTATACCTCNTTCTCTCTCTCTCTCTTTCTTTCTCTCTCTCCCTCTTTCTCTCACAAACACACACACACCCCTCTGCAAGGTCTCAATATAAACTAGGTTTGTCTCAAACTCTTAATTTTCCTTTCAAATTTTCGGATTCTCGGTTATTTAATTAGTTACTAGTATTCTTTTTTTCTCTCAGTTATTTGGAAACTCATGTAAAGTGGACACATATAACCTACAGACTGATTTCTACTGCCACGAAACCTTCATAGATAATAAGTATAAGAGGGCACTGGAATAGGATGCAACATTGCAATGGTCAGTCACTGAATTGAACATCTGTTTTGTGTTGGCAGTTTTGATTTTGTATATATGGACAGTTGTTTTTGTGCGGTCAGATCTCAAACATTTGTGTAGAGTTTTCTGAAGCTCTTCAGGCAGGCCTGGAGCTGTGTGGCCTAATAGACATGATGATTTGCCTAAGAGAAACCTATGCTGGTGTCATAAGATGACCTTTGAGGGTCAGTAAGATGGTTCGGGGGTGATGACGCTTGCCTCTAAAGCCTGCCGATCTGAGTTTGATTCCTGGCCCCTGTGTAATATGGAAAGAGAACAAATCCCACAAGCTTGTCTTCTGATCAACACACACCTCCGCTTGCCCACCCCAAATGCGACATATATTTTTTTGAGGCTGGAACAGAAGAACCCTTGAAGACCCCGTGGCTGTTTCCTGTGTACAAACTGCACAGGCGTCTTTCGAGTAGCAAGGCTCTCAGTGGCTCAGCCAGTGGAACCTGCTGGTTAAGGATCCCTTACCTGAAGGCTAAAGGCCCTGAATACAAACAGAGCAGAGAGGATGGCGGGAAATTGCTCTGAGAGGATGCAGGCCAAGAAAGGGACTTGTTCATATGAGTCCACGCGGTCACAAGCCTCATCCAAGCTGTGAGGTGACAGAGCCCTCAAGAATTGCGTCTCGCTCCCCCACCGTCTTCTCAAAGAGAATATTCACCCCATTTTATAGAACCAATGGCTTGGGCTCAGGAAAAACAATTTCTTCCCCTAGTGACCCAAGGGCAGGAAAGGAAATTGGCCTCACTCCCAGGATCTACTTGGTCTTCTGCGGTCATGGACAGACAGACAGACTGCTTTCTGAGTCTTTGGTGCAAACAGTAGCATGGTGAGGAGAATCCTAGGAGAGGTATCTTCTAGAATTTTCCATTTCCAAAAGCCATTGTCCTGTCACAAACACTCAAGATGAAAGAATTAGAAGTAACTTAGGACTTTAGAAACGGCAACCAAGTCCTGAAGCTAAGAAACAAGTTGTTTTTATCTACAAATTCACAGAGGATCTCCTTCACATAGGGGCCTACACACGTGATAACCTCTTGGACCTGGACCCTTTGCTACCCAGACACAGAGCACAGCACAGTCAGAAGATCGGAATTCACAGACCGCACCACTCCTTTCCTGGCCCCATGGCCCGAAGACAAATGAACACATTTCTCCAACACTCAGTTAATTATTTGATAAAGATAGAGATTTCTGTTCAAATGAGGTCCTCACTGCAATGCCAAAGGTGTTTGATAAAACCGAAGAATGAAAATTTCCTTAAGCAAGCCGTACCGAGTGCAGGAGAGGTGTCAGCACGGGTCCTGGCCCAAGGTAGGTAGGTAAGCATTGTGGGAATGCAAGATGGGTAAGTAAGGCCAATGTCTTTTTAAATCTCTGCTAATCAGTACTGGCTACAGCGGTGGCCTGGATCTTTCCAGCTTTTCTTATGCTTCCAGCAAGGTTCCCACCTCTCACTGCACTAACCTGGAATCTCCTGTCCTTCAGTGCTGTGCACTGAACCTAGGACCTCATGCATTCATGTGTGCAAGGCAAACACACTCCAACTGACCTGGAGATCAGCAGAATCTCGCACTTACTGCCGTCCACATATGTACGTGTGTGTGTGTGTGTGTGTGTGTGTGTGTGTGTGTGTGTGTAACATGCAGGCTGATATTAGGGATCTTCCTCAGTCACTCTTCACCTTAATTTTTTGAGATCTTACTGATTCAATTATAATGACTGGTGAGCAAGCCCCAGCAGCCCTTCTGACTCTGACTGCCTAGCGCTGGGATGAAATGGACACTGCTCTGGCTGGCTTTTTGTGGGATCCAGCCTTAGTCCTCATGTTCATGCAGCAAGCACCTTCGTGGAATTCCTAGTCCCTTGGACTATCTTCTTGGAGCAGGCTGAATATGCTTCATCAGGGTCAACGGTGTGAATTTGTCAGATCAGACTTTCCGTGGAAGCTTTCTTCGAGCAGGCAGACTGGCCATCCCCTGAAAAGGAAGCAGCTGGGGTTTTACAGATAGCTCTTTTCTTTTAATGAGCACAAAATCGTGCGGCGATCCTTAACCTCTCGGAATCACAAGATCACAGACAGCCCATCTTTGAGAAAGCCTTTGTGGCTGACCTACCCACAATCCTCTGGTATACAGAGGAGTTGGTGTAGAGTAAGAAGAGACTTGATCAAGTTGTAGAACAGAGATGGCCTTGGCATTGTGACTTGGTCCTTTATCTGAATATTAGTTCCTTCAGGACTTCCTAGGACTAAGCCAGCGGTCCTGCTTAGACATCTTGGGCAACTCCATGGGGGCTCTAAAGCAAATGAAAGAGTTAAGAGCCCCCCCCCCCCGCCTTGACTTTGCCAAGATTGTAAGTGCTTTCCCGGTATTGGGGCCCCCATGGCCCTCCAAGAGGTATAAGTACAATGGCTGTCTTCATGGACACGCTGGTGGGCAGAGCAGGCGTTGTGAGCCAAAGTGGCCCTGACATTCTTCGTTCCCAGTGTGTAGGTGGAGAGACTTCCTTACTCCTCCATCTGTGTACTTGCGAGCCCACTGGAGAAGGCTAGGTGCCCTGCATTTGGATGACGGCACGGGCGACCCGGCCTGTGCAAGTCTCTTGTTGTGGGTAAGGCCGACTCCCAGCTGGCATCTCTGAGCAGCACGGGGCTTTGCTCTGAAAAGCCGTGACTTCCTTCCTCTTCCACTGAACCCAGATTGGAGAATGGGGCTCTGGCACTGTAATTAGACGCCGGCAGGAAACAAATAACGGAGACATTTCTCTAAGTGAGGAAGGAAGGAAAACATCCAGGCTCTGGAGAGCCTCCAGTTTCTGTTCTTCAGCACTGGAATAACAAGCAGAGCTAGCTGCTCTTCAATCTTTACCAAGCCCCTGAAGTAGGTACTTGAGCCCTCGTCTGCAGATGCAGGCATGGGGGTCAGGCAGGGCTGCAAACTTGCAAGTGGTATCTGGAAGCTGGACCTGAATCACACTTGTGCCTGATTCTTAAGCCGCCGCCCTCTCCATGCCCCCTCACCCCCGCCCACGTCTACCTCACACAGTGCGGGCGTGGAGAGGGCATTTTGCCCTTGTTAGCTTTTAACCATCCTGGAAGGAGTGAAGATATTCTAAAGAGATACTCGTGCCCCTCCCTCTGGCTATCTGACTATTGAAATGACGGTCCCCCCACGAAATTGGAATTTCCCCAGGGATTTCACGCTGGGAGAAGAAAGAAGCTGAAGCCTGATGCCAAGTCCAAGGAAAAGATTTCGCACAATTCTGACAGCTTGTCAGACCACCTTGCAGGAGAGACTGGAGCCGAGACAGTGACGAGCCAATGATGTGTGTGAGCATACTTTGGCTAGGACTGCTTAGCTATGCCTATAACGGCTCTTTATTTAATCCTATGCCTCATGTCAGGACCCTGAAGTTGTTGTTGGTCGATGGGGGCAAGCCCTGAATCTCTTTACTTCTTCCTCTTCTCGATGTGACAGTGCACAAATTTTCCTCTGTTGCCACTATTGCTTACCTGTTTAGTGTGGGTCCAGGATGACCCTAGCGATTTTGGTAACAAGCGCATGAGAGGTGATGGGGGGGGGTCTGTCATCAACCCTGACCTTCCTTGCAGACTTGTGTATTTGGTATGTTTCTGCAACTGTGTATCTTGGGGAGAGGAGGGACACATGTTCCTTTTGCACACTGAGGCCAACTCACAGCCATGGCTCAGGTTGAACCCACTTGAAAGGGCACACAACAGTACTCCGGGACCATGATGAGTTAATACTGACCGCTGCAATGACAGCAACTCTGGACATGTCTGTGAGAGAGTTTCTCGACTGGGTTGACTGAGGTGAGAAGAGCCACCTTCACTGTGGGTAGTACCACCCTTGAAGGAATAATAGGAAGACTCTTGAGTGTCAGGTGCTGAGATTAGGCTGTCTCAGTTAGGGTTTCTATTGCTGTGAAGAGACACCAGGACCGAGACAACTCTTAGAAAGGAAAACATTTAACCGGGGCTGGCTTACCATTTCAGAGGTTTAGTCCATTATCTTCATGGCAGGGAACATGGAGGTATACTGGCAGATATGGTGCTGGAGAGGTTGCTGACAGTTCTGTATCCTGATCTGAAGGCAGCAGAAGGAGACACTGCCCCACAGGGTGTGACTTGAGCATATATGAGACCTCAACACTTGCTCCCAGAGTGACACCCTTACTCCAGTAGGGCCACAGCTACTCCAACAAGGCCATGCCTCCAAATAATGCCACTCTCTCTATGGGCCAAACATTGAAATACAAGAGTCTATCTGTACCACCAAACAGGCTATCCCTCCTCTGATTACTCCATATTGTATAAATCTTAACATCAACCTTCATCATTCTCTATTTACTGGGTGTGATGTGACCAGCTGTCCCAGGGTCCTGCTGTAGAGCCTTCCCTGTCAGGATGGACTGAAGTGTGATCCTTGAAGTGTGAGCCACTAAAACCCCTCCCTTCCTTAAGTTGTTTTAGGTGTGTTTTATCCTCACCATGAAATATATGAAATCCAAGTGCCAAACAGGCTGATGGCGACTTTTGAGTAGTTACTGTTGCTTTAACTCCACTGTGCCTCAGTTTCCTCCCTGGAGAGAGGAGTGTACTGTAACTATGTTCCAGATGGAGTAAGTGCTGGACTGTGGGATGTACCATATTCTCGCAGAAGTTTCTATCCTGGTATATATGAAGTAGCCACTCCTGCTTTGCCTTCTGTCTTTTTCTTTCTCTAGCCGCTCTAGGGCTCCAGTTGGGTATGGGCCTATAGAGGTTGTCCCTGCCCGGACCGTCTGGATGAGGAGTTGTTGACTTTCTCATTGCCTGGCTTCTTGTAGCCATTACATGGAGAAAAGTGTGTGGAGGAAGCCACAAACCAGGAGACAGGGAGTGGAAAGCCTGTGGCTTGGATCTCATGAGTGTTCCAGTCAGGAATGGGAGCTGACACCAGACTTACCTGAGGATACTCCACTCTGTCAGGCTTAAGTTCTTATGGAAATTCACACCTCCCACTGCCAGAGCATTCTCACTGTGTCTCAGCCCGGTGAACCTTAGCACCCAGGACAGCCCCAGCTCACCCTGGGTGCTCAGCACTGCTCTGGCAACAGATGGTTGACTGGGCAAGGTCCTGACCTTGCTCTGTCACTGCCCGGCTGTCGTGACCTTGGGTTGGCTTTGCCTGCCAGCCAGCCTGAGTGTCGTTAAATCTTCATCCTCTCCCACCTCATTATCACCTAGGTTTGAGAGAGTTTCACCTCTGCTGCTAGGAATACCCTGGAGTGCTGTGGCCTTCCGAGCCAACCAGAGGAGGTGAGGCCCCTGCAGGTCGGATCTGGGAACCCCCAGAATCCAGAGCGAATGTCTTCACGGTGAGGTAGAAAAAGGCCATCTTTCCAGCAGCTCACTTAATAACCTCCAGGACAGGGTGGATGAGTCCCAGTCCAGGGGGCCTCCATTTTCAGGCCCGCAGCCCCCAGCCTGTACCTTTATCTCCTTGCAAAGATAACACCCTGCTGGCAGGAGCCATAAAGCAAGGAGGGGCTGGCAGTTTAGGGTCCTGGGGCGTCAGAGCTTTGAACTCTGCCTTCTGAAGGGTTAGGGCTTGCTTTATGGCCAGGCTGTTTGGGGGTGAGGTTGTGAGGGAGGATGGTGGGAGAGCAGAGTCATTAGGGAGAAATGAGTCCCCCGGGCCCAGCCCTCAGCACCCTGTCTGCAGGCATGAAACAACAGAACCCAGAGAGGTGGGACCAGCAGAGGAAACGGTGTTCCATCCTGGCTTTATTGACTTGTAAACGACACCATTAAAGATGAAGTCCTCACCTTGGCTGGAAACAGCTGTGCTGCTGGCCCTAAAGCGGTGGCTAGCTGGGAGGCCACTCCAACAGGCTTGCCCCAGCGGGAGGCAGCTCAGGGGCAGCCCAGGACCTCAGCGGCTGCCTCACCCCCCACTCCCGCTGAGCTTTGGGAAAGGGAACTGGGATCATTCAGGAGGAAAGGGTTTATGAGTGGAAATGTCATTGACTGATTTTTTTTTTCTGAAACGAGGACATTTTCCCAGAAATCTTAATAACCACCATTTGCAAAATCAATAGAGACGGGTATGGAGAAGCCCTGGGCTGCGGAGGAAGAGGTGGGGTCAGTGAACACGAAGGGGCTAGGCTTCTACTTGGTTTCTTACTCCCGGCGCTTGTAGGAAGAGACACTGAGCTACCTGCTCTTACTTAAAAACAGGCATAGTGGGGTCTTGGGAGATAGCTCAGTAGGTTTAAAGCACTGGCTGCTCTTCCAGAAAACCCAGGTT